CTAATTTTTTTTTTTTAATTTTTACGGATGGAATTTTTTATTAAGTTATTTTCATAATAATTAAATAACTTTAAAAAATAAAAAAACGTTTGGAAAATCCAAAAGTGTACGCCTCATAATCTCATTTTCAGTTTCATTGTCCACCCAGAAAAGACAGACCGTGATCTTCAAAAGGACTTAGTTTTGGATAATACTGAAGCGTATAGACTTGATCAGTTAACAGAAAGAAAAATTTCTTGACTGAAGAACAAAATTCTTGGCTCAAGAAATTTTTCGGGTGCCTGAAGGAAGACTGAAGTTGTGTTGGTCGAAGTAAAAATTTATCTTGAAATTCTATTCTTGGTGGAAGTAATTTTTTCTTAATTCAAATTATCATAAATACTTGATACAATAAATTTTTATATTTGATCAAGATTTTTAGATACTTTAGGGAAGCAGTGCCACCTACTTCAGCTGAGAAAAAAATTTTCTTACCTTGAGAAAATTTTTCTCTTGAATATTTGATACCCATTTTATACTATTTTAGCGTGCAATTATACATATTGAATGAAAAAAAATGATTCAATATTATTTGATCTTCCCATTTGAGATGTTAATCAATAAAAATATTAATGAAAATTTACTATTGAGATATTTAATTTTTTGGACCAAGAGAGAAATTTTCTCAAGACAAGAAAATTAACTTCTATCAAGAACTAAATTTTTTGGAGCAAGAGGCTGAATTTTCTCAAAACAACAAGATTTTCTTAACTTAAATAAATTTTCTTGCATCAAGATACGTATTTCTTAAAGCAAGAAGATTAATTTTGTTGGAATAAGTGAAATTTCTTGTGTCAAAAAAAAATTTTTTTTTCGCTCAAGAAAATAATTAGGAAGAAAAATATTTTCTCGGCTCAAGTGAACTTTTTTTTCTGTGTACATCAGACCCACGGACGTCCACGGAATAATTTTTTTTAAACATTTTTTATAATTATTTAAAAAGCAACATGTCTTTTAAAAATGTTATGTGTTGAAACAAGTGATTTTCCATGACATTTATGTGTAAATATTATTCGACAATCGCGATAGAAAATAAATAGAGATAAGTTTAGTTTAAAAAATCACTTGATTTTTGTTAGCCGAGAGCAGAGCACTATCTCATTTGCTTCGCTAATAAGGCGTGGAAAAATTAAATTGAATCAAATAAACAATTTAAAAAAAATTCAGCCTCTTGATTTGAGTAGAACAATTTTTAAACTAAGAAATTTTTTTTGTTGAAGTTAATTTTACTTAATTGAAGAATTTTTCGTCTTCAAGGCAGTGAAACTCTTCAAAATTATTTTCTTTAATTCAAGTTAGTTTTCCTCTTAAATCAATTAAATTTTTTTTCCAGTGCATGTTGAAATTATGGAACTATTTACTAAGTTATTTTTATAATAATTAAATAACTATAAAAAATAATTTGTTAGGTGGTTGTTAATTTAAATGTAAAAATCTCCAAAATTATAATGTATTAATTTTAATTTATCACTGTAATGACTTCAAAATAAATTTCACGTAGCTTGACCCAGATTTCCGAGATATATAATTAAAATAATTAAATAGGAATATATAAAGTATATATGAAATAATGAGATGATACAATATATTGACATTTATCAAGTAACCGGCACGAACGAAGCAGATGATTTCCCATGTGAATTTTCACAAGATATACCACCAGTTATTGGTACTCGCACGCATTCGCATCCTCGTTTTATATGTATATATATAATCTAATGTCTACTTATATAGTAACACGTATAATATATAATATAATATAATATACGGGTACGTAGATACCGTACGGTTATATCTAACGAGAAAAACCGACTGAGATAGCAAAAGTGAGATGAAAAGAGTACTGAGTACCCGGAGTAAACTCATCTGCATCTTTATATATTTGTATATATATATGTATATACGAAAATATTTTATACTGCTTGCTTCTCAGATATGACTCCATATGCACGACTACTGCCAGGGCAGGTAATATCTATTATTGCCAACTTGTTTGTTCACCTCATATTCTATTCTTTATTATTATTATTATTGTTATTTTTATTATTATTATACATTTTTATTGTTAAATAATGATAATAATAAAAATAATAATAATAACTATGTCATTTTTGTAAGTTTCTTGAATCGTTTGTTAAGTTTTTGAATTATTATTATTACTATTATTATAATTTGAAAAGAAAATTACACAGAAAAAAATTTTTTTTTTGACAAGAAATTTCACTTATTCCAACAAAATTAATTCTCTTGCTTTAAGAAATACATATCTTGATTCAAGAAAATTTATTTGTCAAGAAAATCTTGTTGTTTTGAGAAAATTCGGCCTCTTGCTCCAAAAAATTTAGTTCTTGATAAAAGTAAATTTTCTTGCCTTGAGAAAATTTCTCTCTTGCTCCAAAAAATTAAATATCTCGATAGTAAGTTTTCATTAATATTTTTATTGATTGACATGTCAAATGGGAAGATCAAATAATATTGAATCATTTTTTTTCATTCAATATGTATAATTGCACGCTAAAATAATATAAAATGGGTATCAAATATTCAATGTAGTCGGCGCTGCTTCCCTAAAGTATCTTAGATAAAAATCTTGATCAAATATAAAAATTTATTGTATCAAGTATTTATGATAATTTAAATTAAGAAAAAATTACTTCCACCAAGAATAGAAATTCAAGAAAAATTTTTACTTCGGCCAACACAACTTCGGTCTTCCTTCAGGCACCCGAAAATTTTTTTTCTTTAAAATCGAGCTAGTTTAGATTTGATTTATTAATTTATGCCAAGGCCCAACAGCCAAATGGCAAATATAAAACAATACAATATTTACAGTGAAGTAGAGTCTTAAAACTAGATTAATCTATATAAACTAAACAAATTTATAATTCTACGTACAAAAGTACGATAAATACTATAAAGAAATTATTGCAAATACAGTTTTCATAACAGTAGTTTTAATATTAATCTTAATCTAGTTTCTTCTTCAGTGTCTGCAAATGTGCCACGAGACAATTATTATTTAAAGGATTATGACTATGAAATATTAAAAGTTACTATCGGTTGTGGGAGTATTTTTCCACTCTCGAAAATTTTTCGTCAACCACTGTACTCTCTGGGCCATAAAATCCCTTCCCCGGCATTCAAGGGGCTCATGACGTCACGGGACCCCAAGAACAACGCTGTTAGCAAAGGCTAACACCCTCAAGAGTCAAGGGGCATGAGGCAGATTTTCCTCAGCCTCTGAGACACACACATCTACGGTCTAGGACACTGGTCCTATTTTCCTTTATGTTACTTATCGTATTATTGTAATCGCGAAGTACTATCTTGACATTATTATTTATACACGAACTATCTATTGTATCATTTACTGATAACTATATTCTACGGGATTGATTATTTATTGTGAGATTTAATTAACTTCATTCGAATATTGTAAAGAGTATAGTTATAACTTGAATAAATTATAAAACTAAAGAAATGGATTACTACAAACATTTTTATACTAAAGGTCTATATCTTCAATATTTTAAAAGATATAGGCACTTATTAAGTAATGGGTCAAATAGTGAAAAACGAAAAATTATTACTAAGACACTATAAAAATATTCATCCTGAAAAATTATTATTATTATTATTATTATTATTATTTTCCAATGTATTTTTAAATAGTGATACTGACCCATCCGTTAAATAATAATCAGTAAAATTTAAAACAAAAGATTTAATTAAAATAAAATCCATTTACACTTTGATGAATAATCACAATGAGCGCTAATTATTTTAATAAGTTAATTTAATTAATACAATACCAATACAACAATAAAAACTTTTAATTAATTAAATTTGATTAAATAAAAAGGGTATTTACTTTTTCATATTCATATTCGTTTATAGCCTGCACGGTTATAAAATGAATTATTTGATTTAACGTACAGTAATAGTAATAACTAATAACAATATTCGAATATAATTTTAACTCGATAGGATACTCTTTATTTAAATTTCCCCGTATTAATATTAAAGTCACTGGTAATATAAAATAATAAGTAGATATAAAAACAAATTTATAATTTATTACAATATAATAAATAATTTCATTGTGTAGAACATTATCATAAATACATCGAGGTTTACTATTTACGCACGAGCGGTAGATTCGGTTGTTTATTTTTGAGTTCATATTATAAACATACAACACGCTTTACACGGAACGTATCGGTTTACAATGCGTATTATCTGCAATTAAATTACATTTTTATCTCTTTAAACAAACTATCAATTTATACCTGTCTTTGTTTGAGGATTATTTACGTTACAATACTACGTATTATAATTGCGTAGTAAACAAAATTATAAATAGAATTAGAATTTCCAGCAAATGTTCGAGTTACTTAATTTTTTTTTAATTTTTAATTGAAAATTAAAAAAAAAACTGGTATCTGCTGTTTAAGGTGTCATTAATATTAATGTTTATCAGAATGTAGAACCAACCGGCCATCTTATCATTGTAGTTTAATCTCAAATGTTATCTGCATAAATCTCTCGGGGTTTATCAAAGTTTAATTGCACCAGAAACTCATCCTATTCGTATGCAATACTACAGACATATAATTTTATTTCAAACTTGGTTGTATTATACAGTCGTGTATTTTATATATATAGCAATCGAAAAATTTTAAAAGAGTACAGTATTCAAAACTGCACTGATATAAGAATTTATTAACTGTTATTTTATTCATTTATTTGGAAATAATTTGTTCATTTAATAAAATATAATTAATCATTATTTCTGGCACCAATTACAATCTTATTTTTAATTGTTACACTGTAAACAAAACCGGTGTGAGTCCATGCGGTGTACGGTGTTAAAAATTCCGGTGGTAAATTCAACACAGAAATCGGTGTAGCAACTTTTTATTTATTTATTTATTTATTTATTTATTTATTATTTCATTTCAATGCCAAGGCAGTATAGCCAGATGGCAAAAGTATACAAAAAGAGTTATAATAAAGTACACGTAAGTCTAATGAAGATATAAAGTTTAGAAAAAATTTGATATCTATTAGTTTAGAAAATATTAGATATAAAAATTGATTATTTTTTATGAAATATTATTTTCTTCATTTGGAATACAAATTTGACGAATAAAACAAAGAAAATAAATTTGAGGATAAAAAATTGAGTATTAAAAATTTAAAAAATTTAACAGTTTAACTCAGTGATACAAAATATACAAATTATAGAAGATGATAATCTGAGATGATCTAGAACAATAAACTTATGTAAACAGAAATGTGAAAAAGAATATAAACGGTTTGAAAATTAGGATTCATTTTCTTCTTTAAAAGTTAGAAATTAAAAATTAAGGTTCATTTTCTCGTTCATGTTTCATGAAGAATTCAAAAGTACTAATTTTAAAAGAATATAAGCTAAGTGAATTTGTGACTTCAAATGGTAAGTCACTCCAAATTCGGATCGCTGAAACTACGAAGGAATGTTCAAAAGTAGTAGTTGAGAAATTGGGCATTTTAAAAGACACATTAATTTGTTTAGCAGCAATTCTTTCCGATCTTCTAATATCTGTAGATTCTTCAATGAAGAGACTTCTAAGGAACTTTGGTTCACCTGATTTCAGAAGCTTGTAGATGAAGCACGCTAACGAGTACATTCGTTTAGATTTAACCGTGAGCCAGTTTAATGAGTGCCTGTAGGGAGTGATATGCTCATCTCGTCTTAAATTAAAGATGAATCTGATGGTGTTGTTTATTAGACGTTGAAGTTTGTAGTCTAGCCTTTTGGATAAGTCAATCAAAACTAAGGAACAGTATTCAACAATTGGAATTATAGTAGTCATGACTAGTAGTTTACGTGTTGAAGTAGAGAGTATGTTTCTTCTGTGTTTTAGACAATTTAATGTACCATAAACTGATGATTAATTTATCATGTTTAAAACATTCATTATATTATGAGCAACATCATGGTTACGATAAAATAATTACAGTATTGTTCCTAAACATTTAATATTGTAAATATTATTTAACTTGTTGTATAACATTCAATAAATCGATTTCTGCGTAATTTTATAAATTGAAAATTCTTAAATAAATGTTACTTGTCTCATTTTGATAAATATTGAATATTAATTGTGTTTTATAGATCATGTAATATTTATACTCCGATACGGTGTAAAATTATTCTACTGTTACACCGGTTTAACATCGGATTTTTAACGCCGCAAAAGAGCACCGCTACACCGGTGTTAATACACAGGTGTTACATAGCGGTGTTAAATTGAGTCTATTTTAACACCGCTTTTTTACAGTGTATAAATGGAGTATCAAAACGTTTAAAGCACTCGAAATATGGATTATTTGCAGACGACAAATGTGCCTACCTGCATTTTGAACTTTTTAAATTGGAAGTAGCTGCTTTTCATATACAGTCTGATGCCCAGGTTGTTATTGATTGGGCTCACGAAACTGGTCTTGAAATAAATTATACAAAGACCAAAGTCATGATCCTAGGAAGCAAACTTAAACTTAAACTATTAAAAAACTGTGAGCTTCCACAAATCATCGTCGATGGACACATTATCCCTTACGTCTCTACAACTAAACATCTTGGTCCTCATTTATCAAATGATCTTTCATGGGATACTCATGTCGCTTAGCTCACACGTATGGTCCATGCTACGATAAACAGTTTAAAGCACAGGAAAAACATTTTATCTTCACCTATACGCAAGATGCTAGTTACTGCTACTGTTTTACCAATCATCGACTATTGCTCTATTGTCTTACTGGATTCCTCGAAAAAACTTGATAATAAACTGCAGCGTCTAATGAATAATGCTATTAGATTTATATATAACATCAAACGTGATGAACACATCACGCCGTATCGGCGTTCATTAAACTGGTTGCATATAAGGTCACGAAGATTGTACTTCCTAGCCTGTTATTTCTATAAGTTACTCGACTCAGGACAGCCGAAATACTTAAGGAAGATGTTCATCGAAGAAGATCCAAGCATTAGACGATCTGATAGAATAGCCGAAAAACAAAATAATGTCACTTTCAAGACACCAAATTATGTCACAACCAGCTAGGGTAAATGCACCAGTTGTTGACCGGTCACCAATTAGTTGACCGATGTATAAAAAAGTTAATTAATTAATATTTTACAAGGGTTTTCTTTTCTTAAAGTATTAAAATAAAAATATATGGCATTTAATCATCATAATAAAAAATAACGCAATTAATTGCGCAGTGATTATAGCTTTAAAAAAATATTCTGAGTTTGTTTACAATGCAACCAGCCATAAAGCGGTCAAAAATAACTAGCGTACAATTGGAGAGTGAGTGAATTTCATCATTAATTTAGTGATATTTATCGGCATAGTATAAAATATTTTAGTTTTATTATGTTAATTAAAGATCAGATTCCAACTTTTTTGAAAAAATAAAGTTAAATTATAAGTTTTAATATTATTTTAAGACCGGTCAACTATTGGATCCGTCAGAAGCCCTTTACCCAGTCAAAAATTCATTCGGTCATTTATTAGACCCCTTGATTTTATCACAATCCAATTAATGACCGTATATTTATAATACAAACTTCTTATCCTCAAAATTAAATCTGTCAAGTGTTAAAAGTACTTTAGTCATTCAATATTTTGTAAATATAAAAATAATCATTATAAAATGTATATTTATAATTAAAATAATACTTAAAATCTTTTTTGATTATTAAATTTTATTTTGTTCTAATTTTTTTAGTGAACATTTATATCAAAGAACGAATTATTAGAAGAAAAAATTGCTAAGCAATTAAAAAAATAAAAAAGAGTTGCAAGCTAGTAAAAAAGCTTTAATTGAAAAAAAGAAGGAGAAGAATAAAAAAATTTCAAGTGAATCAGAATAATGATCGTCATCAAAATGAATTTGTGATTATTTGTGACTTGAAGAAATGTGATTATTAGAAGAAAAAATTGCTGAGCAATTAAAAAAATAAAAAAGAGTTACAAGCTAGTGAAAAAGCTTTAATTGAAAAAAAGAAGAAGTAATAAAAAAATTTCAAGTGAATCAGACGAATTATCGTCATCAAAATGAATTTGTGACCTAAAGAAATGTGACTTTGTGTTAATTATTGCTATTATTTATATTATTTTATGAAAAAGTACGATTTAAAATTATATTGTGTGTTTAGTTTTGTTAAAGATGTCGTTAATGCTTCAAAAGTACTGCATAACTTTAATTACATACATGTAGTTTACAAAATTATTTATAATTATTTGAGCGGTCAATTAATTGGATAACGGTCGGTCATTTATTGGGTTTCTTCGGTCAATAATTGGTGATTTTAGTATTTTAAGTTTCAAATAACAAAATTAATATAATTTTGTTAATTTTTATTATAAATAGTTATTAATTATTATTAATTAAGTATTTAACTTTAATAAAATCCATTACAAATTGTTTTTAGTAGGTTAATAGATTTTTTATAGCTTAGTACAGAAAAAGAAAACCTTAATCGGTCAATAATTGGTGCATTTACCCTATTAACATTCCTTTATTTATTTATTTATTTATTTATTTATTTATTTAGGTATAATAAGACCCAACAGCTATGAGGCCAGTAACAGGTTCATTAAAAGTTTATACACAGTATTACAAGTTCATACAGGGTATATCTTAGTAACTAAAAAAAGCATAGTACAAGCAGTAATTAAACTTAGATAAAAAAGTGCATAAATAAATTAGTTATTTTACATTAATTATAGAATATAATACGTTATAAATAATCTTATACACTGTACAATATGATAATTAATACAAGAGAATATTGAATGATTGAATGTTTGAGACATTATCTTAGCGACGTTAAGAGAGTAGCGAGCACGTTGGTGCTACATACGACTAGAGTGCTGGTTATAGCCCAAGAAGTCGATGTCATTGTAGTTTTCAGCTATGTAATTACAGATATTTAATATTCTTCATAAAGAATTATTGTTTCAATTATCCGCCTGTGGAAAGATCTGCCAACTGAAGTTGTAAACTCTCAGAGTCTAGAAGTCTTTAAAAACAAAATGTTTGAATATTTGTTAGAACCTGAACTATAATAAGATCATTAATTCTCATCATCTTTCAAAAATTTCTTTCAAACTGTGCTGGTTATGATAAATTAAATTTCAAACATATCAAATTGTTGTGTATTATTTGAAATATCCCAGTTGTTAAATTGTTAAATTGATCAAATTATTGTGTATCTAATTATGTATAAAATTTTATTGCTCACTAAAAATTCTAGTATTTCTTAAGTGATACTGTGTTACTATGTTATATAAAACATTTTTTGTATACACCTTGCCATTCGGCATTTGCCTTGGCATATATTTTCAAATAAATAAATAAATAAATAAATTATTTTATATATTTCACAAATATTCTTATATATAAAATGAGATTTATATATATTTTATATATATGAGAAATATCATACACATAAAATATATGGAAAAATCATGTGCGTACTCAAATGAAAAGTCTCGATGAGCGTAACTTGAAGATGAACTTATATCGTTAAAAATATTATCAATAGACAAAATACAATGTCAATTCTTAATTATTGACATTTTTGAAGATATAAGCTCATCCTGATGTTACGCTCATCGAGACCTTTCATTTGAGTATTTATTTATTTCCTTTATTAAAACCCAACAGCCCATAGGGCCAATGACAGGGTTACTTAAATGATACATAGTTGAAGATACAGACAGAGTATTAACAATATTAAATAATATACTAAATGACTCAATATAAACCAAGCTTTAATTATTAGGTACTAATTATCTTAATTACTTATATTAATCAATTTAATAAAATTTACGACTCATTTTTGACCAGAAACCAGAGGAGAGAAAAAACAATTTATTTATTTTAATTCGATTGTCAACAGTGAGTATGCACATGATTTTTTCATATGATATTTCTGATATTTGTGAAATATATAAAATATATAAAAAATTCATGTGGGTACTTGAATGAAAGATCTCAATGTGTGTAAATACAAGTTAATAAAGCTTGTCACCACGTTAATATTCCCAGTGTTTGATTATTGTTGTGCGGCATACTGCAATATTACTAATGACTTGCAGATGCGATTACAGCGCAAAATGAATTGCTGTGTTCGCTATATCTATAAAATTGCGAGGGCTGAGCACATTACTCCGTACTTTAAGAGACTAGGTTGGTTAAAGCTGAGTGACAGAAGAAACTACTTTATAGCATGCCTCTTTTACAAAGAAATATATCTAAATTATCGTCAGCTATTCAAATGTCACTTAGAATTCTTGCCGGTTGCGTTGCGTAGAGGCGATGTAAGAGAAGATTATCTGCGGCTACCTAGATCTAATTGTTGTATGTATGATAACTCTTTTCTTGTTCGTGGCATACGCATCTGGAATGCGCTGCCAGCCGAAATTACAAAAGCCGAAAGCTTCGAAATATTCCGTATACTGTGCTATGATTATTATTTCCAAAATTATTGATCTGCTATATTGAACGTTTATTACCGTTATTAAAGGTGGCTGAGCTTTGTATAACACACGTATTATTTATAAGCATAATTAACATGTTATTTACTATATTTATTTTAATTTTATTCTTATGTATTTAAAACTCTGTACTTCATACACTAATTATAAATGTATATTTGATGATGGTTCTGAGGGAGCCTAGGCTCCAGAATCCAATAAAATTATTATCTATCTATCTATCTAAATAGTTTATTTGGTTCAAGAGAAAAAATTAATAATTTTTTTTAAACCAAGAATTTTTAGAATTTATACGACTATTTTTGTTTTTGTTAACTATGAGTCTCAATAAATAGTGAATGAGTTCTCTAATCTATTTCAAGGTATTTGAATATAATTGTTGCTCTTAATATTTTGATAACATAGTTTTTATTCGTATGTCAACATAGGTATTTTTGCTATGTTATATTGGTAATTTCACTATGTCACATAGGGAAAATCACTTCGTTAAACATAATAATAATTGCTATGTTCGATAGGAATTTTCATCATGTTTCATGGAAATTATAACAATGTTAGCATAGTAAATATTTCTATAACAAAATTGGAGGGATACCTATGCAATTATAGGAAAAATATCTTTTTTTTTCACTTCTTGCAAAACTATCCAAAGTCAAAAAGATAAATATTCCCTGGCAGATAAAATAAACCAAAAAGATAAATGTCTGTCATTAGATCCGAGAGGGTAAAAAAGCTTGTTAACTTGAGCGCGAAGAAAAGTGAACCTTCATGTTACTGTCTTAATCTCAAAAAGTATTTTTCTCCTAAAAAATCCTTAATTTTATTTAGCAACATCCATCTTGTAATTCACGAGACTGAGACACGCTCCTACAATTTACTGAATTTACTTCTTGTCATCTAATATTGTTTCACCTTATAAGACAAAACAAACAAAAATTCAGTACCAATAAAAAATAATAAACAATATATACTCCTTATCTCATTTTGATCAATTTGCTTATTCGTCATTCATCTTCATTTGTTTATATTTCCGTACGACATTATATGACGGAGGTTGATATTAAGAAATGAAATGATTACAGAATCCACGACTTACTTATAAAGAAGACAGTAATATAGAATAATGCAGGTGAAGGTAATAACGAGAAAAGAAGATGAAACAATTTCGAGTTTAGCTGAGATGAGTGCATAAGAATGTCAAAAACTCGTTTAGTTGTCGTCAGAGATTCAGACATAAAATAAAATAATAATAATGATAATGTATTTACTTAGCAATAGCTACTGTACAATATATAATATATTTTTTTTTTTTGTACAATGACATATATATTCATATCAATTTAGTTAAAATTTTTCTGTTATAAATAATAATAATAATAATAATAAATTAATTAAAGCCTAACATTTATGCTAGCATCAAACATGTGTGTAATATTTCAATACGGAAATATTGATAGAAAAAAATCAAAACTATTTCATTTATACTTTCTAAAATTCATCTATTTGAGAACGGTGGATAGTTAATTTTCAAACTTGTTTTGCTCATGTATAAGATGAAATTTTGAAAAAAAGCACTTCGCTCTTCAATAGATAATTTAATTTCGCTACTAGGTTAATGGATGGCTAATCTTAGCTGAAGAAAAATTTTTAACTTCCCGCTACAAAAATCGAATATTTTCAAAGATCGGGAAGTTATTGGTTTCACCCCGTTTTTCGAAAATCGAGTTTTCATCAGATCTCGACGATTTGAGGTCCTACGAAGCTTCCCTGAATCTTTTCGCAATGATGTTCGCGCGCGCGTGTGTGTGTGTGTGTGTGTGTGTGTGTGTGTGTGTGTGTGTGTGTGTGTGTGTGTGTGTGTGTGTGTGTGTGTGTGTGTGTGTGTGTGTGTGTGTGTGTATGTGTGTGTGTGTGTGTGACCCTCTTATAATTTTTGAACGGCTTGACCGATTTAATCGCGGTTGGTGCCATTCGAAAGGGCTTGGCCAAACTTTGATTTTGAATACTATTTGGACCGATTCAAACTAGTAGATTTTAAGAAATCTAAAATAAACTACAAAAAAAATTTTTTGAAATGTGGTTTTTTTGGAATTACTTTTAAACGGCTCTACCGATCAATTCTAAAATCTAATCAGCTCTTAAGATAAAAAAAATCACGTCGATCACCGCAAGCTCAGTTAAAATCGGTTGCTTCGTTCGTGAGTTATCGTTGTCGAAAGAAAACCAAAAAAAATGTTTTTTCGGAATTATTTCAAAATTCTTGGCTCGCTTGATTTAAATTGGAGAATTTTTCATGGAGCTTCAAAAACTGCGTCGAATAATGCCGCCAATCGCGTGAAAATCGGTTCATTCATTCAAAAGTTATTGCCGTCTGAAAATTCAAAAAATTGTGTTTTATTAAACTGCTATTAAAGTTTTGAGCTCGAAGAGCTCAAATTGACACAAAAATCATATTTTTCAGCTCGAAGAGCTCAAAAACGTAATGTGTAGTTTTGAGCGCTTAAGTACAAACGAGCGGGAAGTTGCAGGGATGGCCTTTAGGGTCAACCGTCATCCTAATTTTTTTTCCTGAAAAATAATAGTAATAAATTTTGAATTACATGAGCTTATTGAATTTGAAATTCTCTTTTAAATGAATACCCGTATGTCTATATTGCCCTGAAAATATCAAGCCGCGGAAATCCGCGAAAACCTAATGGATAAAAAATTTTGCTATATTTCGACTTAACTCGACGAGCTGAGTCAGAAAATCATGGTTCAAAAGCTTATACATGAATGTACTTATATATATTTATATATAGAATGCGAATAGAACGTGGCTTGTCACGACGATGGTGTCTGCAATTCGCAACAGAGCTTTACGAAATTCAGTATATTTATTCTACTGATAAATACAAAGGTTAAGTTCAAATATGAGCTTAATCGGTCATGTAGTTTTCAAATTACCGGATCAAAATACACTTCTTTACAGTTTATTTATCGAATAACTTTTGAATGCGATATTGTATTGAATTTCAATAAAAATATATGTGCCTGAAAGCTTTTTAGATAAGTTTTAATTGCATGCCTTAAGCGCGAACGCGCTAAGGCATAGCTCTACTGGGGCCTAAAAATCAAAGTTCCTATCTCGTCAAGAGAAATTATATTTTTATTCCATAATCATCGTACAAATGTTAAAAAAAAATACACTGGTGGCAAGAAGAATGATTACTGAACTAATTAAAAACACTGCTTGGTAAATTAATTATCAATTTTAGTGAAAAAACCCGTTTTTAAAATTTTTTTTAGAACTTTAGTGAAAATAACCGTCAGAATATGGCGGTGTGGTCAAAAAATCTAAAAATATATACAATTTTAGGACTCATTTTTTTTCAGCCCTGTCATTAAGCTTTAATGAAGAACCCTAGTTTGTGTGTTTTTCGGTAACTAAATGTATCCAAACGTTATTATTATTTTTATGTATACGAAATCTACACTATAATATGCTAAAGTTTTAATTTTTTAAATATATTTTAGTCAGTGAACTCCTGGCCTATTGTAATTGAGAATTTTGTATAAATATTCTTTTAAATGGTTAATAACTATTATTACATTTTTCTCGAAATTACTGAAATTTTAAAATTTTTAATTGATTAAACGCCTTTAAGCTTATAATTTTTATTGAAGTATGAAATCTACTTCCATTTCGCCTGCCGAATGGCCGTTTTTTTTTTTTTTTCAATTTCGTATACATTTTAATATTATGGTACTCGAAAGATATAATTTTAGTTAAACTTTTAATGATCATCTATACATTTAAAAGAATAAGGAAAATTATGTCTCCGGCGTATTTGTATGATAAAATGAGTTTTTCTGATTAAATGTATTGAAAAAATTTTGACCTGAATTTCCCTTTCCAATATACTTTTTAGCAATAGTTAATTTATTATGATAAGTTTTTGAAGTAGATTCGAATTTCGCAATTAACGTAATTTGTTTATTCATTTATTTTGTTTTATATGTATGTACCTGTGAATGTGGTTTTATATCAAAAATAAATTTATATAATTAAGAGACTACGAAAAATTTTTAAACCGGTATATCTTTATTGTGAATTGGGTTTGATATTTTTTCAGCGATAGTCATTTATGAGTTAAATATTTTGAGACGAGCATATTATTATTTTTAAAGGAATTTTTATAATTAAATTTGGTATCATCAGAAAGGTCTGGATAAGAATTAGTGCTATAAATTTGTATCCGTTACATTTGTCCATTAAATTATTTGTAATTGATCCTGTCATACCATTATTATTTTTAAAATTTATTTAAAATGTACCCAAACTACACTTCTTACAAAAATTAAAGGAGCAACAGGCTGAAACTTGAAGAAAAATAGTCGCACAGCAAATAAAAAAAAATCAAATTGTAGCTCCAAGTGTCTAGTTTTTGGATCTGAGTTCAAAAATTTTTTTTCGAGTAAGGTAAAAGCCCCAATAGATGATCATGTACCAGTATATGATCACTCCATGTATTTGTATACCAATATTTGTGAATATAGATATACAAATACATGGTGTGATCATATACTGGTACATGATCATCTATTGGGGCTTTTA